GGATATGACTGGGTCTTGAGGGGTTTTGGCAGCGCTCTAGCAGAATTGTTCAACATCTGATCAGGGGTTAGTCCATGATCAGGACATTGCAGCAACTCATCCATAGCGACCTTCAGTGTCAACGCACTCTTCCACTTGCGGTCACTAATGTTAAGGATGAGGTGCTCTGTCCGACGCGCTAAGTTCATATCTTCAAAGAGGTCTTTCAAGGCCTTGAAGAAGTCATCGATCCTCGTCCGCTGCGAGTACTACACCATCGAGCTACAACCTGCCTCTTTGACTAACGAATTAGTGAAACTAGTTTCGTCTCCCCCTACGCATGAGCTTGCCATAAGTACGCGGTCCCCATACGGAATCAACTATGCATACAGGTAGGTATCCATCGCTGCTTCCTAATGGAAAATACTCTCCTCCTTGTCCCACTGTATGTCCAAGGGACCTTAACTTTCGTCTTCTCTCTACGTAGATCCCCCTCAAACTTGTCTCCCTCTTTCCTTCCATCATCCCTTCTAGGACCCTTTCCTTTCCTATCATCACCATCATCTCCCCTATCGCCCCCACCACCGCCACCTCCTAAAGCTACGGACGCGATGGTGTTCTTCAGTTTCTGGGTGAAAAGTTTGTCTAACTGATGGGCGAAGTCAAGGATCCTCATATCTACCATGTGGGAGGAGGCACTAAGGAAGTTGTTCCATGTGCCTTGTATTATCGCCATCATCTCCACCATTGCCCCCACCACCCCACCTCCTAAAGCTACGGACGTGATGGTGTTCTTTAGTTTCTGGGTGAAAAGTTTGTCTACCTGATGGGCGTAGTCAAGGACCCTCTTATCTACCATGTAGGAGGAGGCACCGAGGAAGTTGTTCCACAAACCCTGGAACTCTTCCTAATGTCGTTCTATTTTCCCAATGGATTCCTGCAAAAAAGCGAGTTTTTGGGTGGTGTGCAGCAGCGTGTTGATGAGGAGGCGTAAGTTTTCCTTGACTTCTCTTTTTTTCCCTTTCTGCTTTTTTAGCAGGGCCTGAATCCTTTCTCCTTCTTCCCTCAATCTCTTCTTCTCATCGTAATCCGTCCTTTTTTGTTGAATCGAGTGCTGGTCAAGGATGGTCCTCCTCTCCTCCCGCAATAAAACCCTCTTTTCATCAACTGCTGCAGATGCCATTTTGATTGTGCAGGCATTCTTTTCTTACTCTATTTCGTCTGACATCTCTGTGCGAAACCCAAATTTTATCACCTAGTCTATATCTTCCACTTGCCGGAATCTTAGCTGACTGGTATGGCTGCTCTCAGCCACCTCCTCCCCTTCTGGTCTTGTCCTTCTTTTTAATCCTCCTCCTCCTTCTTCCTCCTCGTCTTCTTCTAACTCTTTTTTCGATTCTTCCTTCTTTTTCATCCCTTTCTCCATATTTTCTTTCTCCTCCTCCATGTTCTTCCTTTCCTACTCCAATTTTTCTTTTACCTCCTCTGTCGTTCTCTTTTTCTCCTCCTCTTTCTTCTTCTCAGCCAATTTACTGTCAATTTTGGCTTGTTGTTCTCAAGTGTATGGCTGCGTGGACCCACCAGACCGCATGGTAATATTCATGTCGCAAGCCCGATGGAACCTCAATGGGAACAAGAACCGGAGGAGTGGACCCCATAGCACGGACAGGGTCAACCATGCGAACATCGGGTAGTCATCAATGGTGACTACAGGCACAGGTAAGTAGCCTCCACCTCCTCACCATGTAGACCTAACCCTCAACACTTGATCTACCTAGTCAGATTGAAGTCTGACCTACCTGAGTTCTTCCCTCCCCACAGTGTCACTACAACTACCTGAACGGCTGGTGGGCAACCAGCAGTTTAAGGCCAGCCAGCAAGGACCTCGGGGATTCTTTAACGACGCAAACAGGACGTTGTGCACACCAGGATCTGAAGGTTCGCTCTCAAGATTCATAGCTCCTCACTGCGTCTGCTTCGGTTCAGTTGCATGCCCGTCAATACTGTTCTTAGGGCTATACGAGTTGTTTTACGAGCGCTCGCCGCTCATGCCCATGCTTCCTACTTCCGGGTGAGTTATCCAGTTGCCGAGCTTCCATCCTAGACACGACCTACTTCATGCACATGTGTTTGACCAGATGCTGACTAGAGACAAAATCAGATTTGTCACCAAATCATCTGCCCAGCAGCAGTGACACCAAGATGTGGGAAGGTACCGTGACACTCATTCATTCATGAAAGCAAATCCAGGGCTTAGGGGGGCGATGCACTTCACTTGTGAACGTTCCTTTGATGAAGCTCCACGGCACTCCTTGCATGCAGATACGTAATCATCATCCCCCACCCAACCTCCCCACTTCTTCTTCGGCCTTCAGCCCCAATGTCAAACTCCAAACCACATCTCTCCGCCCTTAATCTTGCCAGCGATCACTACCAACAGTGGATGCAGCGAGTTCCTACTCCGATACCAATTGCATTGGACCTCACTGTTTGTCACCTTGAGCACACACATGCATTGCGAGGTCACACGAGATCCACACTGGAGACCAGAGATGCAAAGTCTAGATAAGTGCAACTTAGACATTCCAACAAAAGCAGACGCAGAGGGTTCCTGCTTCGAGACATCCATTAAAATTGGAACTACACAGAGAAGATTAGCATGGCCCTTGCGCAACGATGCCTCACATAAATCAAGAAAGAAATGGTCTAGGAAGATTCTCGCCCGGTCGGGCACCTGGGCGTCACACCCGGGGGGATCTCAAGAGGGGGAGGAGCAGGGTATAAATTGGTTTTAAAGGGGCTAAAGGGGTCTAAAGGGGGGTGCCTTTGTGTGTTTCTGTTATTTTCTTTTTTATCTCCGATTCTGTGAGGAATTATAATGTAACCCTCAGCCAAAAGTCGTTTGTATTTCAATTCTACACAACATTTTTTTTTTCCAGAATTCTTTGATTTCTTTTAGTTTTATTTTTTTGCGATGGTCATGCCCGCCCGGGCACCCGGGCGTGTACCCAGGCAGAAGTTGGGTGCCCAGACGCCTGGAAAAACAGCCTAGGAAATGCTCCAAATTTAAATACAAAAGAATATATAATTCCAACGAATTATCATATTAAACAGTTTCAGAGTTTCAGTCACCATGCGCTCAACAGCGCAGAGTCCAGCAACCCATGTCCAGCATCCTCCTTCAAGGTAGGTGACACTCTCATTCTCCCTGTCCCCCT